AAAAAAAAAAAAAAAAATTCGGAGAATGGATTTCATTCAATGAAATTGTATTAAAATTATTACCTGTTATAAATACTGTCCCAATGCGATCCAGGCTAATTATACTTGTATAATCTTAACTAGGAGTCTCTCCATCAATTGTGCCTTGTCATCGATCCCACATAACCCACAATCAATTGCACTGTCTCTTGTGGTTCCCTTAAAGCTGTCCACACATTTGGAGAAAGTCTCTCGAATTATCTTAATCTCAGTGTTTCTAATCATCTGCTTCCTGTTGAGACTCTGCAAGGAAGAACTTCTTAACACTGTGTTGTCCAATATAGAAAACATAGTGTTACATGTGGTAATTTAAATTTAATGTAAATTAATTAATATTAAATGACATTAAAAGTTTAGTTCCTTACTTCCTTAATTTAAATGTGCCTAGTGGCTATTGTATTGTACACCACAGTCATAGCACATTTCCATCATTACAGGAAGATCTATTAGATAGTGTTGTTCTAAAACATACATTTCCTTGTTTATTCAAATATCTAATGAGTTTCTACTTTGATGCCAGTCATCTTTTAATTAGATAAAAACAAAATAACTGATCAACATGGTGAAACTCTAGCTCTACTAAAAATACAAAAATTAGCTGGACTTGGTGTTACATGCCTGTAATCCGAGCTACTTGGGAGGCTGAGGCAGAAGAATTACTTGAACCTGGGAGGCAGAGGTTGCAGTGAGCTGAGATCATGCCACTGCACTCCATCCAGCCTGGGCCGCAGAGCAAGACTGCGTCTCAAAAAAATAAATAAATAAAAATAAAATAAAATAGTAAATAAGAAATAGACAACCAAAACTCCCAACCCTGAAGGGGCTTAATCCCTAGTGGAGAAACATGAGGTCAAATTATGTCCCTTCTTTGCTCTAAAAGCCTTCACTCTACCCCTACTGATGAAATTAAGAACAAAGTCTTGATCACTGTGTTCAAAGCCTCATATAATCTACTTCCATATTTACTTGTCAACCACTAGTGAGACATCTTAATAGGTCTTTTGTATTCTCTGCAATATGATTACAACTCAAGAACTCTGCTTGTATAAATACCTCTCTTTTCACTTAATGTCTCCTACTTTTCTGGTTATGGACCTTTTTTTATCTTTCTTTCTTTTTTTTGAGACAGAGTTTTACTCTGTTGCCCAGGCTAGAGTACAGTGGTGCCATCTCAGCTCACTGCAACCTCTGCCTCCTGGGTTCAAGTGATTCTCTTGCCTTAGCCTCCTGAATAGCTGGGATTACAGGTGCCCACCACTACACCTGGCTAATTTTTTTTTGCACTTTTAGTATTTAGTAGAGATGGGGTTTTACCATGTTGGTCAGGCTGGTCTCGAACTCCTGACCTCAGGTGATCCACCTGCCTTGGCCTCCCAAAGTGCTGGGATTACAGGCATGAGGCACTGTACCTGGCCTGGTTATGGACCTCTTTCAAGGTATAACTCAATTACTAAATTTTACATAGGGCATTTGTTGATCTTATTTGCAATTAATGACTCTCTCCATTATACTTTCTTATAGTTCTTATACAT